ACCGGCAGTCTGTTACGCTTCCGCGCCATCTGTAGCTGATTGCTATGTGGTCAAGCTTGAAGCACTCTTGCGTATGTGAGGGCGGACGTCAGGTAGATTTGTGTCTCCTCGAGTGTCGAAAACTAGTGCTCGAAAGATACAAGCGATGATCAGAGCAAAGAGCAAGCAGTCTGTCTCCATTGTCTGATCGACTTCCACCGAGAACAAAACTACCCCCAAGGTGGTGTTCGCTTGGTGGAAGGCGGCCAACCCGTGCGTTAAAGTCCCCGGCAAAAATGATTATATCAGTCCTTTTGGAGGAACGCAGAAGTTCATGTAGCTGCTGGTAAAAGCTATCTTTAACTGCATCCGGGCTGCAGTCTGTAGGGGCGTAGGCGGAGACGACAAACAAGGCACGCTTAACGTCTCGACGCCTGCTCACGTTACATGAACCTTGTAGTCTGACTGCACATAGCCTACTGTTTACTGGGATCCATTCAAGCAGAGCTGATTCAGCCCTGGCACTCAGCGCAATTCCAACATCAGCGTGGCCAGTGGCGGCAGATTCTGGGTCTCCGGAAGGACGCAAGTTGTATTTGGCCTCAGGGTTTACCGGTGAAACCATTCTGATGACGGCGTTAGAGTCTTGTAATCTGGTCTCTGAAAGGCAACAGAAGTCTACCGAAAGCGTTTCAAGAGTACGGGCCAGACATGCTTGTCGTCCGATCTGCATCAAATTTCGAACATTAAATACTGCGAGGATGAATGGAGAACCAGGTCGAAGAACAGCTGAAGCTTCGGTGGGGTGAGAGGCGGTTGCGCTCGCATGAGATTGAAAACCGGGAGTTTGGTTGTTGCTTCCATCAGTTGCGAGACGCGAGTCGTTTGTGACGGTGATCGTAGAAGACATAAGAGAACACATAGTGGAAGGAGAGGAGGTGGGGTGATTTGTGAGTGGAGGTTGAGCGTTTGAGTTAGCATAGAAGTTAAGCATAGCAGAAGCAATAGTAAGCAGTGTGGTCCATGATCCGTCAGTGGGTGTGATACTACCCGGTTGCCCAGGCCGAATTAGAGGGTTGTATTAGGATGTCCCTTCCCCGAGCCTTTGATCAAACATCTAACCTACAAGGCAGCTGGGCGATGTGAAGGCGTCGCAACCCGTTGGGACTCGGGGACCAAATAGATGGTTCGTACGCCCTTCGGTCCGTGAAGGGCCAGGGGCCCAACACACCCTTGAAGTACAATGCCTCTCAGGGAGGAGCAAGGGGCAGTGACTTTATTTAGTAGCGATTCACATCCGCCACGTCGCAGTGTTGTTAAACAGACATTTGTGGCTTCTTATAAGGAGAACGCTTGCCAGGCGAAAACCCACCACGTCCTGAAACACTGCCGCCGAACCATTTGCTGGAACGGGGAAAACCCGAACCACCCAACTGGCACCACGAGGAAGTTGTTCGGCAAGCCAGCCAAAATTCAGTACTAATCCTAGGATGCTCTACAGGCGGGTGAACAAGCTCCAGAGAGTGCAGCGCGGGATCCCAATTCTACGTTCAGCAGATAGTCTGGAGCTCAGTATACAAGTGGCGGTGAATGCATTTCGGCAACACTTTACCCCCACTTATCAAAGCGAATGGTCACCCCAACCGTCCTTGACACAGATCAGTCTGCCCCCAGGATTAAGCCAGGTATTCTTAACTTCTGCAAATGCGATGAAAAGGCTACTGTGCTTGCGAGTGCACAGCTCTCCTGGTATGAACAATATCAGGTTGAAGGCATTAAAAACTGTCGTCATGATCCTTGCCGAACCGTTGGCCCGATACTTCGAACAAAACCTTGATGAGATGTAGGTTCTGACAATGTGGAAACTGCAAATATGCACTCCTGTTTACAAGTGTGTGAATCATTCAGAGCCCTCGAACCTCCATCCAATCACCCTCTTCCCAGTGTCATCCAAAGTTATGGAAGTTATAATCGCACTGGCGCACATGGGATACCTTGAGAGCAACAAAATAATAGTGTCACGGCAACTTGGATTCCTCCGAAATCGGTCCTGCTCTACAATCTTGTTACCAGGACGAGCAAATCAGACGAAGTTCGGCGATGCCAGACAATGATTAGACATCGTATACTTGGACTTCTCTAAAGCACTCGATTGCCTGGAACACTACATTCTTCTTCACAACCTTTCAAGCTGTGGAATTGGTAACCTTGTGCTAGGTCAGAGAAGGAACTTCCTCATCCAACGTCAGCTGAATGTGAGAGCTCGCAGCTCCTTTTGCGACACAAATGAAGTTCACTGTGGTGTGCCCTAATGATCGGTGCTGGGACCAAGTTTGTTTCTTGTATTCATCGGCGATCTTACTAGGGTGTTCAAGTCAGCTGTCTTACTATTTGCAGCCGATAGCACTAATGGAATGACATCTAGACAATGAGCGAGCAGGCGGCACTACAAATAAATATCGACTGGACCTACACTTGGTCCTCCAAAATCTGCCCACAGTTTGACTTGGCGAAATGCAAAGTTATGAGTATAGCCATCAGTGTAACCATGAATATCGACTGGCAGAGCAGCAACTGCAACATGTTACGCGGAGAAGTGGCCTCGGAGTAATCGTGCTTAATGACCTTGGCTGCTCGAAACTGGCCAAAAAGGCAACGGAAAGAGCTAGTCATCACCTTAGCTTCTTACGCAAGGCGTCCGGAAAGTTCGAGCTATCAATATTTCCACAAATGCTGGAAGCGAGCATGAGGCCGCACGTGGGGTAAGCCATCCAGGCCTTGAGACCTTGACAGAAACCCGATGTTGCTACGCTCGAAGCTCCACAACTTATGACGAAGAAAATGGTTAGAAGACTGTTTCACCTTTCTTACCAACGCAGCTTCAAGTCTTGGGCTTGCACAGCCGCGAAAACGCAAATACTGACTAACCCCAATCACTCATGTCGCGATCTGTTGCAAGTCAACCATTGCACCAACCTGAGTGGCCATACATCACAGTCGACCTGATTGCCGACAAAATGTTTTCTCTCTTCGGGTATCCAGAACGTTGAAAGCTCTTTCCCCTCACGTTCTTTTGGCCACCACGTTAACACTTATTTGAAAGAAACAATTGAACTAAACTATATCCCACATGCATTATGTGCGATAGTCTGTATCCATCGAAAGACGAAATAACGCACAGCTCGCTCACCGGCCCTCTCCTTTACGTGGCGGTGAGCAGACCAGCACATGGGTTCATGTGAATAACTCGGTAAGTCAGCTCAAAGCAGAATTTGCTCTTTTTACTGTCATCACAAACAAACATTCTATAATCCACGCTCCAGCCATCCTACGGGGCTTGTCAAGTAATTGCTCTTCTTGTCCGTTAGAAATCATTGCGCATTGTTCCACTAGATATTGAAGTGATTTTAGTTGTAGAATTACCATTTCTGACTACTAGCTTTCTACCCTCGAGGAAGGAAGGTAACCACCTTAAAAGCAGACTGGAGATACTATTGGACATAGGTTTCTGTAGCAATAAGTTGTGTGAGACGCGGTCAAAATCCATTTGGATATCAAAAAACATTACGATGATAGCCCTTTCTTCGTTTCTTGCTCTGGGTACACTATCTAGATAAGTTACTTGACTGGTGGTCTATGACCTACCTTCCAAAATCCGTGCTGATATTTTCTGATAAAGCTCATAGAATTCAGCTAATCTATTATGCATTCCTTAACCAGCCGTTCCATGATACTTGTGATAATGGATATGTGGTGGATTGGCCGGTAACATAGAACCGCTTTTGTTTCATGGTATAATAGTCAGTTGTTTCCAGTGTAAAGCACCATGGAAAGTGCAAATACATTACGCAGAAACACTGGTTGTTTGGAACTCCATTGTTTGACGACAATTGGGGAAGGTTATTATCGTGTGATTAGCAAGATGGATGAATTACAATAATTTGGCGGCGTATGCCACTAAGTTGGAATACGACAGTTCGAAGTGTATTGCCGCCTTTGTTAAACAGCTCGTGGTCGAGCTCCTCTTTCGCATTTGTACCATAGGTAGACTTGAAATAGTCATTAACGATTAAACATATGATTGCGCCATCAGGTATGACGATTCTATCAAAGTTTACGATCGAGTTAATATAAATTATTTTCCTGTTCTGACCACAATCCAAAAGTTTTGAGATGCAGTCCGCCACGTTTGCGCTCCTTAGTACTATTCTTCTTCGGAGCATAGGGTTTTGTGATGATCATGGTAGATTGCTGTCAACATTTTGATATGGATCACTAATAGTGTAAAATCTTTTGCTTTGTTCAGAACTTTTAGCAGGAACCATCATTTTGTATTTCCTGGATGTGATTTGTTTTTAGTGCAAGTTAGGACTGATGACAGCGTTTCAAAGCCTTAATTTATATTCGCTTTAAGATTTCGGAAAAATACCTTTAGGTTAGACGACAGGAAGAAATGGTTCCAGTCAGAAAAATGCACCAAAGGAATAAAGTTTCGTCGCTTTATCCTGACAAATTGCTCTCGTGTCTCAAAGGGGGTTTAAGTACATATGGAATGTTTATTTTGCAACTGACAACGTTATGGGCCCCACCGTCTAGAAGTCTGGTACGTCGATAACATCAATTATTGAACCAGCTGTGAATATGAGGTCTATGATATTATGTGACCGTGTAGATGTCAAATGCTGCATCCAGCATGCCTTATGTAAAAAGTTAAAATTTTACCATATCTTCCGTGCCTCTTTACAAATTATGAAATGTTAGTCTAGTTAGCTTGTCCAATAAGAATAATAATGTCGTTCTTTAAATAAAGCCATCTCATGCTCAAAACACGGCATATAAAAGTTTAACTTACGTTTTCAGATGCAAACTGAAAACCGAAAAGCAGTCTCGCCTGAACTGCGAACAGACCAACAGATATGGCGGCCCGAGGGTTTTCGAACTTCGCGATCCACTTCTCATGACACGATCGGACTATATCATGAATTCTGCGGGCAGGTTGAATCCAGTGCTTCTTAACTCAAATCTAGAAAAGGTCAAATCCGAAGGTGAGCTGTGTACTGGATAAAAAATATCTTAAACCAGCGTACAAATATTTGGTGGCTAGGTAGAGCTAGGTTTCGTGCATCATTTTCGTAGCAAATAGGACAACACGTTATGAAATTTATTCTGTTTATTATTTACATTAAGCCTAAGTGAAATTTAACATACCCGATAACGAAAGCAATTATTATCTCACTGCTAATACCAATAACGCTACCTCCAACAATAATGAGTCCTTAGTTAATCCACACTTTTGCACTCGCTAGCAACGTAAATCAAAAATCAGAGTTAGTAGGTTGAATCGCTATGATGATAAATATCCATGGCTGTGTTAGATTGTCTCTGTCGTGTGCTTTTTCAGGCAATATTACACAGTGATGTACATGTGTCCTGTCAAATTTCTTCTCACTAAACTGTGTCATCTTATTGTTCGATAACACCAGCTGCCCTGAATAAATAAATAAATAAATGCTTTATCCCCCTGAACGTGAAATACTGTGGCAAAGCACATCCGCCACAAAATAGCTTTTATTGGTGCACATCGTTCTGAAGAATGTAATAGCTGTTTACATTGTCCCCTAGGTACCACTTTGTGTGCAGACACTGTCTCGGTTAAACGAACTACATACTTAGTTAATTTTGTATACACTGAACTGGATGTATTTCCGCTGGAAAACAGAAAAAGTGTATTCCAACAATTTACAGCCTTGCTCGTTATATCAGAAGTGTTGCGTCGAAACGGCTTGCGGAAGCGCCAGTAAGTGAAGCATGTTGACAACTTAACGGAAAGCAACTGGGATGCACTTGCTTAAAGTGAGTGTATCGTCAAAACTGAGCACACATCAACAATCTGGAGTAAACCACCTTGCGGGGTTTGTGTTCCTACATTTTGGTTAGATGATGGGAGTATTCCATGAGCCATCTTTTGCTTCTTTCGGTCTCACGAATGATGTAACAACAGAAGGTGCTCTGGACATGTGTGCAGCAAATGTGGGCACTTATTTCACCAAGCAATCAACGGCAATGTGCACTGGGGAAGTAGGCGCCACAGGTCCAAATCAGGTGAAACTAACTGAACTGGGATAGGGGCCACCTGAGTAGACATAGATCAATTTGTTGTTTCCCTTCGAGTTAAGGCTATCTGTTGTAGTCGTTCCACGCTGTCTTCTTCACGTCCAACTTGACAGCTGTGTTCGAAGGAAAAGTCTGACCTTCAAGCCCCGTAGCGATGTTAATGAAATGGCTTTTTAACATGACACATCTTCCTTGAATACTGCCGCTAGGTTGTTGCGTTTATGTGCCAAAACAGATATTCGTTTACTGATTAAGATAACCTCATAATCGGCGCAGAGCCCACGGGGACGAATTTTGCAGCTCAGCTAAGTCGTCAGCATTGGCAACACGCGGGAGAAGTTGACTGAAAATGTCCACTGCACCCAGAAAACACTATGCCAACCACAGCCTTATTAACGCTTGCTCTATAACCGCAAGTATTTGTCAGCTATGGCTCTCTGAACTTTGTTCTCAATGTAACGACGCTGCTTGCTGCTTACTTAACCAGGACGCCACTTCGATTACAGCTTCAGAAACTGGGGAGTTGTTGGTGCCGGCTGAAAGTGGGCGTGATGCACACGCCGACGCTACACACATAAGGTTAACAGATAGATTCTGTTAATTGGATAGAAACGTAGACAGTGCAGGACAGCGTAACGCGTTCCGCCTAAAGGCATGATAATGACACATTACTTGTCCTGCGACTCCGGTTTCTATGGTCAAAAGCCAACGGAAAATCTTTACACGGCTATTGGACGTAAAACTGATGAACGGATTCAAGTCTAATGAATACGAAAGGCGCTGCTTCAACCACTCACGACGTTAAATGCCCGCGGTTTCGACTAGTTGTGTGACGTTGAAAGTGGCATTTTAACTGAAGTTGACGGATCTACTATACACAGTATAATTAGGGTAGTTGACCGCATAAACTCGAGCAACAATTATTACAATACCAGAGGCGTGTAAAAGGACGGAGCGATGTAGATGGTTCAACAACCTAATACCCACCTTATGCAGCTGGGAAAGCTGTCGAATGACTAAAATTTTGGTGGTGTTCGACAAGATGGCGAAGAATGAACACACGCAACCCAGGAACACCAGGGCATTGGTACCGCCCGACTAGTGTGCCATCACAGACAAAAGATTCATTCACACCTAGCACTTCTGACCGAAGTTTAATCTTACTCGAGTTGAGTTTCTTCAACAGAGACCTGAAAGATCTTCCATACCACCAGTGTCTCCAGGCATTCCGCTCGTTCACCTATGGGTACTGAGTATCCCACGGTGACTTTGCACTGCTAAATTGAAGCTTAGATGATTCTAATTACAATTGTCACCCCATGCCCTGCTTGACCATTGCCAAAACAGGTGGGTTAACGTCCCCGCATGCAATCGTTGGACCCAAATAAATGCCTTGATTATTACGATATCCGTCATTTTGCTTCAACATCAGGTATGTGCAGAAGCTACGAGATGCAGTACCAGCGCAATAATACTACCTCGTATAATAGGTAAAGTGAAATGTAACAGTGAGCAATTCGACACGAATCGTCCGTGACTAGAGGGTAGCAACATAGACAAATTTTTTTTCTCCTGCCAACGGGGGCCCCTCAGAGAGTTATTTGTCCGATAAATACTTTTCAACACCAAACTATTCGTTAGTTTCGTCACCTCTGACTCTAGATGTCAACTAGATAGGTAAGTCATTCGCTTTCCTGTCCATAATCAGTTACTTTTCAAAGGTCTAATTCGCAAAACACCTTTGATGTGAATGTGCTGAATACGCCATAATTATTAATGTAGATGGCGCCGTTAGTTATGTGAACTTTTACTTGCTGTATTGGTGCTTGAGACTTGCGAGTATATTTATGATATAGGTAATTGGAGACTTATTTCCTTTCCTCTTCAAAGATCAAAGACCTCCGCTTGCAACATTAGTTTTGAACCATTTCCAAAGTAACACAGACGCCTAGCAATTTCTAGTTGTCTTTGCATAGCAGCGTCCATCCAGGTCTCAGTAGTAAACACACACTAACTCGCTAATTTACTACATGACAACATTGCACGCCAGTCGATATAGGCCAACGTCCTTTGAATTGGTATGTTTTGGAGAAGGAGGTGAATTGTGTACAAACTTACGCGGTTTGCCACATCCGGCCGGTCGACACTTACGGTCACTTGCTGATCGATAAACGATGGGAAAACATGTTACTGATCGTTAGCACGGTTATCCTATCAGTGACCAAATTAGACATGCCTACCCTTTGGAGAGACAATAGGCCGAATATCATCAGCGTCCAGTACTATCGAATCCCCGTGCAGCAAGAGAGTAAGCAAACTGACTGCATCCAAAACAGACTTATACAAGCGATTAAGCAGAGCCGACTTCCATTAGCTGGATAACTCGAGATCAGGTAGCAGTTAGATGCACACAGAAGCAATCCATCACTCTGTAGAAATGTTAGATTTACTCGATACGACGTATTTTTGCGACGGTGTTTTGCGACAGTATTTTTGCTTTGGAGATTGGTCGAAAGTTCTCTTCCATTAGGATATTAAGCAGGAGCGTTATCTGCAACTTAGAATGGCTTTTCTACTAGATTTTTTCAATTTACTCGTTTGATCTGATACCAATGTTCTATGCTATTGGCGTCGTAAATGTTGCTGCTGATTTTTATTTTGTTAGAGACGTTGCTCAGTGGGAAATTGCAGCATTACCAATTTTGTAACCGATATTTTTCAACTGTCCTTGTAGTAACTCGACTACTTGCTAACGGTATAAGCAATGCTCAGTTCCTATGGGCATATACTAAAGTCTATTCATGCGCATTCTGGTTCATTCAACTTGCGAGTGCACTGAGGCTCAAGTTCAGCTCTAATCTCCGGCTAAGAATGAGCAATTAGTCAATACAAGGAAAAAATAGCTTGTAAAGATTTTGAGGCAATAACTTTAAAAACTCTTTGATGCGGTGGACATTGCCTAACATACTGGAACGATTAGGATTGACTGGCTATCAAGAGGGTCATAGAGTATGAAAGGTTCCAGTGTACTTTGACAAAATATTCTTACATCTATTTAAGTAGTCTAAAAGTCTGGTCTGCACTGTTAGCCTCTGTGATTTCAGAAAGTATAAGGAACATATTATCATCTGGTAACTTACGGCTTAAAAATGGCTGTACCCGTTCGAAATACAGTTAATGATTTCAATTTTAAACGTAGTGAGACGCCTTTTAGCTTTATATATTGCAAAGAAAATTAGACAACGCCTCAGTCTTTTTTCCTCGCAGTCAGCGTTACTGCTGGTCAGTGAACATCGGCCGCATCCAAAGAGCATTGGTAGTGCGACATTTACACTCGTCACAGTGCCACCATTGTTGTGGTTTTGTTATGTGATGGTAATGTTGTAATTTTATGAAAAGGAGAATAGACGGTAGTGTACCATGAAAAGTAGACGTGAATGGTTGTCGAATAAGTACCCGACTGCCGGCTTGCTTCCAGTAGGCCCCTGCATTCCGATCTGTGGAGTTTGTTAACACTTGTCTTTAAAATCATCGGAATTATGAACATGCATCTGTCTCGCTTTCATGTCGACATGCCCTAGTTTAGTCTTACCAAGCAGCCATACAGAATAGCTGCGGTGAATTGCTGGTGTATCACATAGGTCGGTATTTCGAAATACGCTGTGAATTCACATCCATAGTCTTAGTTACCCTGCTCGAATAGTCGATCCCAGGTTCTAGATCATTTACCATTGGTTTCTTAAATTGATTGGCTGATTTACCCTGGGAAATATCGGGCATTGTTCGGTATGAAATGATTTCGTAATCTACAATGACCTCCGCCGCTTGGACATCTGCTATAAAAAGCTACAGCTCAGTGGTATCGTATGAGCACTGTTGTTCAAAGTGTTATTTGTCACGAAAGAGTCGTTCACATACTCTTGGATAGAAA